TCCTAAACTCCCAGCATAGGCACCAGCTCCTAGCGGCCCAGCTCTTTTGGCCCCCCATATGACCCCCCAATGTTCAGAATGGTCAGAGGGTGGAGGAAGCTGAGTATAGCATGGTTTCAGTGGCTGGCTCCTCCTCCTGCTACCATGGAGGGAAAGGAGGTGGAAGCAGCCCCTAGCCAGTGGTCGCAGTGGGAGGAGGCCAATTGTGGAGTTGAGTGAGGCACAGTGTGGGTTCAGTGGCTTCTCCTTCTCCTCCTGCCATGTAAGGGGAAGCAGTCCCCAGCCAATGGCAGAAGAAGGAGGAGGAGGAGGCTGGGTGTGAAAGAGGAGGAGCCTACTGGTGCGTTCAGCTCTGCCCTCTGGCTCCTTCTGAAGTCCTGACTTCACACATCATGCGCCATTACACCATTGTGCCTGTGTCATCATCCCCCTAATGTTCTCCACAATTTGTCACCTCTCCCTCCCAGTAACCTGAACACCAAGAGTCTAAGCGCATGGGGATTCCAAAACCTGAGGTTGGCAACATGCACTCTTCAGCAGTCACTAAGATGCAAGGACACAGTTGTCCTCTGGTCTAGTTTAGCCCTTGAAAGTAACAGCGTTAGGAGGACAATCTCATCAGGGTCCTCATGCTTCTGGAGGAGTGTTTTGATCTTTTCTGCTTTGTGGCATTTCCTTCATTGAATGCTCCTGCCAACCTTACACCAGTACAGTGGTACCTCGGGTTAAGTACTTAATTCATTTCGGAGGCCCGTACTTAACCTGAAACTGTTCTTAACCTGAAGCACCATTTTAGCTAACGGGGCCTCCTGTTGCTGCCGCACCGCCAGAGCACGATTTCTGTTCTCATCCTGAAGCAAAGTTCTTAACCTGAGGTAGTATTTCTGGGTTAGCGGAGTCTGTAACCTGAAGCGTATGTAACCTGAAGCGTATGTAACCCAAGGTACCACTGTATTTGTGTCTCCCGCTTCCAACACCTCATCCACTTTGGATAGAATCAGACCAAAGGTGAATTCAGGATCGCTGTTCACTTTATTTCTTGATGCTGTCACATTCACCTCACACCCTGATGGAGGGTTGTGTGCCCCCTGAGGTCCAGCTTCTGGCATGTCACCAATCACGTTGGAGTTGAACCACCATTCTCCTGGCAGCTAGCAAATTGGGAAGCTGGCATCATGCTGCAGTGGTGTGTGTGCTTGGCAAAGTGTTAGTTTGCAAGAGCATTGAAGTGACTTTGAGGTTCCGCATTTGCTGATGGAGTTTTCTGGGGACGAGAGAGATGACCTTGGGTTAGCAAGGAACTTCTCTGCGTGCAAATTGGGCCCTCGCTCAAACCAGGGTCACCCCCAACATTCCCATGACAGCAACAGAAGCTTGATAAGGTGTGCATTAACTCGATTAGAAGGTCTTCAAATGTCACTTTCAAAAGGGATCCGGGAAGATCAGCCCAGGCAGGTTGCAAGATTCAGAACCGCTTTCCACGCTTGTGTTTCAAACCAGGAATTAGTCTTGTGAGGATGGTGCTCCTCCAAATGGAGGAAGGTTGCCCCCACCATTTTGGGATGAAGTGGGGTATGTGGATTCAAAATATGCTGTGTCCTGGTGTAGGACGGTGGGGTGAGGCCACACCTTTATAAGGCTGCCTTGTGGGGGCCATGACCTCCTTCCCTCAGTACCCTCCATGAGGTCTAGTACCATGTTGCTCTCCATGGGGGCTGAACGGAATGTGGTGGTAGTGGTAGGGGAAGTGTGGGCGGGGGCAGGTTACAGAAAATATATGCCTTTCTTCAAGCAATGAGAGCTGGGTGGCATATGCAGCACAGTCCAATTAAACCAAGGTCAAGGATGAAGAATCAGTCTAGATCCAAATGTGTTCCAGAGACAAAGTCGGCCAACACTCTGCTGTTGATATCATAGGGAGTTCAGGCAAGACACAGCAAGGCAAAGCACCGAGGAGAGAGATACCCTTGTTGTCTCTAGCAACTAGAAGGCTTAAGAAGAAGGCCTTTTATACTATGGGTCTGCGACAACAACAACAACTGGCAGTACAGGAGTTATTGGGGATGTCTTACTCATGAGTAGGCTAATGCACCATATCATTTCTCTTTAGCCTGGACCCAAAACGTTTGATACTGGTGATATTGAGACTTTGGGTTGTGGTTCCTAATCGCAGCTAGTAACCCAAGGAGTCCTAGATACTAAGAAGGAAGGCAATGGATTTTGGGGGGTTGATTTTAGTTGTTCCTTTGAATCAGGTCTCCAATGCAATATACGTGAGCATCTTGAATTTTAAGCATTTGGTTTTAAGCCATATCTTAACTTAATAAACTGGCATTAATAAAACCCTTCACTGTAATTTTTTTTGCAGCAAGTTCAGGGGGGAAAGATACTGATGTAATTTACATCTAAATGCTCTGTATGGGACAATTGCTGATAAGATGGGACAATTTTGGAACACTCTGTCCAGTAGGAAAACAAGCAAGCCAAAAACTATCTGGTATTTCAGACTTGGCAAAAGGTGCATCGATTTTTCTTTTCTATAGGACATTTGATGAGTAAGTTGGTGCTTTGGAAGTGCAGTTTTGATAGATTAGGATGCAAAGTGGCTTTTAACTCCCTGTGGCAGGGAAACTGGAGAAGGATCTGATAGCAAAGAAAACTGCTGCAGTTTTCATAATGTGTAAATGAAAATAAACGGGCACTTCTACTGGAATCAAATGTTTTATGCATATATATATGTGTGTGTGTGTGTGTGTAGTTTATGTCTGTGTACACACACATACAAACAAAGAAACAAACCACTAATAAGAAAATATCAGAATGGTTCACAACAACTGTACGCAAAACCATCCATTCAAAACCATATTTAAAAAGTTAAAATCAGAAATCGGCTTACTACTGTGGAAAGATGTATTCTTAATTGCCTGCATAGTTATGAACAGAAAAGTCTTCAGCAGTCATTTAAAAGTTAAAACAGAAGGCACTTAATGAATCTCTATTAACAGAGCATTCCAAAAATATTGGGCTCATAATGCTAAAGCCTTGCCAGCTCAAGGGATGACCAACAGCACTCCTGCAGATGACCGCAGTGACTAAACGGGAATATAGAGGCTCTGGTAGTCCTTGAGGTACCATGGACCTCAGTTGTTCAGGGCTTTGTAAAATTAATGCAATGACCTTGAACCTGGCTTGGTAGTAGATGGGCAGGCAGTGCAGCTGTGTTAACAATGGTGTCACTACTACTTCTCCAGATGCCTTCATCAGCAGTTTACGTTCTGCACCAGATGGAGCTTCCAAACCAGACCCAAGAGCAGCCCTGCATAGAGCATATTGCAGTAATCCAGCCTTGAGGTTAAAGCTTAAGATTTATTTAAATAGGTTCCCATCTGCAATATATATTCAGTGCAGTAATATACCTTGTGAGACATCTTTGAGAGAAGAAAAGGCTAAGGAGTAAACCCTGAACAAATTCAGAGTGGAGTGTCTAAGACGGTTGGGTGGCATTTTGTACTCCTCTTTCCAGCAACTGTGGCAGCCAAGCTGGTGCCAAATGCTATGCTTTTCTTTGGAGCACATCAGTGAGACTGAGAGGGGGTCTTGTTGTCTGGAGAACCCAAGACCTCTATACAAACTGCCCAGGCTTGCACCCCAAAGAAGTCACTTTGGTGGTGCTGATGACATGGGAGTTCCTGGTCTCTGCAGTCCCAACAGGTACTGTGATTCTCTAGTTGTTTGACAAAATCGTGGAGAAGAAGGCTGTGGATGACTGCTAGCCAAAATGGCTATATTCCACCTCCAATGTTAGGGACTGTATGCCTCTGAATACCCATTGCTGGGAGTGACAGACAGGCAGAGTGCTCTTTTGCTCAGGTTCCCATAGACATCTCATTGGCTTCTGTGAGAACAGGATGCTGGCCAAGTTGGGCCATTGACCTGATTCAGTGGGCTGTTCTTATGTTCTCGCATTTTGTGAGTCACTGGTGAGGTGGGCGGGCACAAAAGCCAGTGCCATTTTGGCTATGTCACCACAGTTATGAAACACCCTCCCAAGAAAAGCTGTTAGGATGCTGTCAGTGGCTCCCGGCTGGTTGCCCAGGAAAGTACAAAGACAAGGACAAGTTTCTTATAGTCCTTTTGTATTTCAATCTTTACAGAGAGAGGCTATAGGACCCAGCCTCTTGGATAATGGCGTTGCCCCAAGTGAATCTGCACACCCCCCCCCATCTCTCCCACTTCCTTATTCATCATTTTCATCACCTCCTCTACAGATGCTTCTACGTGCCCTCTGTCTTTGAGCTCTTTGCTCTCCTATTTTTAAGGCTCGCCAGGTTCTGGGAGATGGAGGGCTGGAATGCTTTCGAAGGACAACGTGTCAGCAAGGTGTTGCTCCGGCTCTCCCATGATTTCCCAACTTTCCCCCTCATCTGTCTCTGAGCTGCTATCTCCCTCAAACCCCTGTTGCAAATCTATACAGTCTTCCTCCTCCTCCTCCCCCCTGGAAGGGTCAGGATGGGGAGGCTGTATCTACCATTCCTCCTCTGCCCAGTCCCTTACAAAAGCCCACTTGCATCAAATGTGGCTCACGATTTGACAAGCAATACATATTTGGTTCTATAGGAAAGATTTTGGGGATAAGTTAAGCCTGGGATGTGGAAGGATATGGCTTGAAGTTATCCATATGTAAAGCAGTATTTCTGATGTGGATGCAGTGGAGATCTTTGATGCTGTGTGCTACATATTTAATATTTGGTGTTCACATTTCTGTAAGCTGTCTTAGAGGTCCCCTTGGGAAAGAGAGGACACAATATTTCAGAACATAAATAAAAAGCATTGCAGTGGTGCTCAACCACCTTAACTCTTCAAGATCTCTATTATTCAGTCAAATTAATTCACCCTTTGTTTTATTACTCATTCCAGAATTACTTGTTGCTTTGTTTCCTGAAGAAGCCTGGACCGCTATTCAAAGGAGATCTCACATAGTTTCTTCTCTCTCCCATTAGGGAGAAGATGCCATTCCACCATGTCACGGCTGGGCTGTTGTACAAGGGGAACTATCTGAACCGGTCACTCTCAGCTGGCAGTGACAGTGAGCAGTTGGCCAACATCTCAGTGGAAGAGTTGGATGGTAAGGATGATTCACCAACAAGTTGCAGAATCATAGTGTTCTGTTTTTTAAAATTAAATCCTTATGACCTTGCAAATTGTGAGTTGAAAGATATGCATGGGATGGGCCAGAAAACGGTTACTTTGGTAGTGTTTCTGAAAATTTAAAATATTCACTTTTAAAAAAAAAAAATTATGAGATTGCTGACCACAGGGACTTGATTCCATCTTCCCATGCATCTAGTGAAGTCCAGTTGAAGATGGCATAAGGTAACTTCTCCCATGGGCCTTTCTCAGATCAACAATCTTGGAAGCTGCAAGAGGCTACATGTTGGAACAAAAACCCCCAACCCTCTTAATTTCATATATGCACTCATGGGGTCTGAACTGGAGGTGAGAGGCCAGGAGCAAAGCCTTGGGGTCACAGTTGACAGCTCAAATAAGATGTAAACCCAGTGTGCCACAGCCGTGAAAAAGGCAGATTTCATGCTAAGGATCATTAAGAAAGAAATTGAAAAGCAAACTGCCAATATCATCGTGCAAAGCTATGTTACTGTCATGGAGTTCTACTCAATATTGATCCAGAGCAGACTGCATTGTATAGTTAGCAGAATAAAAACTTAAAACACATTGCAGGATTCCCAAAAATAGACCAGAGGCAATTGTATTTCATCCAGCAGAGCTTTACTGCTACTGAAGGCAAATGAGCATAATGGTCACAAATCCCATATATTCAGGATTGGCACTGTCCATAAGAAATCCAATTGCAGCAGACTTAGCTTAGACTTACAATAACTTATAATAAGTCTAAACCTTAACACCTTAACATATTATGTACAGAACACCACAGCAGAAGGAAAAGAGATAGAAAGAGAAAGTGAAACCCAGGCTCCTTCTGGCCTTACTTTTATAGTCAGCATGACCTTGACAGAAAAAGATAAGAGAACCAGTTTAAACCAGTTGTATTCAGCTTCTCTGAAGGAATAACCCAAACCTCATGAACCTTCTGCTTGTTTCTTTCACATGGAGAATAATAATAATAATAATAAATTTTATTCCAAAACCCTCTTGAATTAATTAAAATAGGAAAGATCTCTACACATCAGATCAATATTTTCTGCACTAAGAAAATTGACCTCCCTGAGATGCATTATTTACTTGTAACTGTCCAAATAATGCTGAACTCCAGGTCCCATCACCTCCCAGCCTTTGCCCATGTGGGCTGCATCTATTGGGAGTTGTAGTTCTGCAACAACTGGATGGCCACAGGTTTCCCCACCCCTGTTTTACACAATTTGATTATTAGTATTAGACAACAATCCATTGAGGTGGGACATGAGAGCTGCGCATGACCAGTCCCTTCTTAATTTTTACTTTCAGACAGGGCAGGTGTGTAGATGTGAAGGCAATGCTTCAGACATGACTTCCTCCATTCTGGTTAATCTTACAGAGAGTTTTGGGTATGAATGGTTCTCTTTAAGGGACACCTGTTACACACACACACACACACACATATTCTGATGCCCAGTTCAGGGTTCACAGTGGCACGTCCTTCTTCTGGGCTCGACTCGTAGACTTGGTTATGAACAGAAATGTGTCTTTCTGAATGAGTTTCCGTAGTGGAAAGAGGCATAATGGATGCTCTCTCTGATAGCTGTGTTATAAAAACTGTGAGTGTGAATTCAGCACATTGGTTTCTGCCTTGTCCCCACCCCCACCCCCTGCTTGAGTTGCATGAAGTATCTGTGTACGTATGGGGTTTTGTTTTGTTTTTTGCATAATGTCGCTAGAGCTTTTTGCTAATAGTCTGTTTTTCTTCACCTGTTAGACAATCAGTTTCTCATGGGAATTCCCAACACATTTTTTTCCCTAGCACAGTTTTTGTTGCAATCATAGCTTCCTGGTGATGTCCCAGTCTTTCAGCTAAGCTGAAAACATTTGCTTCCTAGGGGCGCTTAAAAATGAGAGGCAGAAAGTTCCATTTGTGTTGAAGATGATTTGGATTCTCTGAGATCTCTGTAACAGCATGCATGGGTAGAATGCTTGTTCCCCTAAATACTGGCTGAAGTAAAAGAAAAACTAGAAGGATGATCTCTCTCTTGAACTTTTTAGCAATAGTTTTGTTCTATTTATAACTACCTGTGTTATCTTTCTTGCTAGCAGAGCAGCCCATAAGCTTAAGGGCTCAGCAGGGTCTCTAAGTGCCTTCTCCCGTGTCAAATGGTGCCGAGTTTCAAAACCAAACTTCACTGAATGAAACTGTAGTTTAGGGTCCGGTTCAAAGGGTGTTGTGCTCTTTCTCAGCAGCCTTCCTTTGGTACCAGTAGTGTAGCGTCAGTTACCGGTGCCCAGGGTGGGCACACAAGCACATGCACTACCCAAGTGGGTGCCATCCCAGCCCTTGCCGCCACTGCTAGAGCAACCCCACCCATACCATAGCAAAGCGGGGCCATGCTGAGTTGCCTGCCTGCCCACACAGGGGGGAGCCCAGCTAGTTGGTGTGGCCCTTGGTGGGCAGAGAGGAACACCAGCTGTATTGGGGACACGTGTGAGCACCTACTTAGTGCCCTCTCAAAAACTGCATGCCCGGGACTCACACAACCCATGCTACGTCCCTGCCTAGTACCCCCACCTGCCACCATCCCTTAAGCTCATGGAGTATAAGACTATCAATGCCACTGGTGGGAGGCTTTCTTATTTCAACAAGATTCCTCAGTGAAGATTTGCGTCTTAGTAGGTATCTGTGTTTGGTTTTGAAAGATTTTTGCCTATGTAATTGCGCTCTCTCTCTCTCTCTCTCTCTCTCTCTTTCTCTCTCATTGTGAAATTGCTTCAAGATGTCATTAATAAAAATTATAAAACTGCCACATCTGCAAGAAGACTAAGAGAGACCCATTCCCCCTGACGTTCCAATGTTCTATGTGATGGAGATTGCTTTGTAAAGATAATAATTCACTCATGAGATCCCCTCCTTACACTCTGAAGAAGTATAGCATGGGCACAAATGGACCCAGCTGAGAGTGAACTAGGGCAGAACTGATCGCTCTCACCTGGGAACAAATTGCAGCACAGCCAAGGCGCTCAGGCGATCCAGTTGACAAAGGTCAGTCATCTAGGTGATGAGCTGTCTGCTCTAAAGCTGGCTTAAAGATACAGCACACTGCACCCAGGTCATTGAATTGTCCACAGTGGTGAGCTGGGTGTATTTAAACAGCACCCCTTTAGCTAAGGTGACTGGTGCAAAGGAACCTACCCCAAACCAAGGACAGGCTCAGCCATTATAAACCTCAAAGTTTGATGTCAAGGTTTCCCCAAACCGGTGGCTTTCCTTGGCTCCTTGATGAGCCTAGAAAGTTTCCGTGGGCCTCAACCCAAATCCTTCCAAATGTAAACAAAATAAAGTCAAGGAATATCAATATATCATCAACATTTCTTAGTGCTCAAGCGCCACGGCACCATGAAGGAGGGAATAAGGAAGTAAAGCAAGTGTAAATAATGAAGCCATGCTTTTTACCTTCTCTAATGAGATGGATGGACCTGAATAGTGTGTGAATAGTGGGCTGGAGGTTTGTGAGTTTGTGTTGTAAGTCTAAGAATACCGTTGTATTGTGGAATTGTCTTATTAGATACAGATGTTCCCTAACGGCAAGGCAGGTGCACTCTGCACATGCCCATGCCAGTTATCTTTGAGAATCTTCGTTCCTTATTGTTTTTTTTGCACTATACCTCATGAACTTCTTTACCAGCCCAGGCCCCTTTTGACTCCTGCACAGTCCCATCAACCATAGAATTTGCCGGATCAGGTCAATGCCATCTAGTCCAGCATCCTGTTTTAACAGTGGCCAACCCTAGTTTAAAGCTTATAAAGTTCTTGTTGCATGTCGAGGTCCCCAGGGCCACCCCAATAACTCACACATCACACAGAATTTTTGTTTAAGGTTTTTGGCATAATTTTGGCCACAATTTTATTAAAATACAAAAATGTGAGTGGTTGCTTAGGCATTGGTTGCGACTATCTGCCCCCACCATGGGGGAAAGACTGACATTCTGCACGATGCGGAAAGTCAGAAAAGGGAATACACTGGGGTAGCGACGGAGCAGGGAATCTGCCCTCAGCCCTCCCCAAATGCAACCAGGAGCTCATTGCTATGGCCCGAGCCCCCTTGACAGAGTGGACAAGCAATAGTTAGCCCCTGATTCCTTTAACGGAATCCCTTTGCAGCAGCAGCATTAGAGGGGCAGGCACAGCCAATCCATGCCCCTCAACCAACCAAACCATAAACCAATGCCTAACCGCAACCTTACAAGTTGTGACGATTTGCTACACAGTAGGCAAAAACCAAATGGCCCCAGCCAATCAGCCAGATGGACAAAATTCCTACCGGGCCCCTGCCCCAAGAGCAGACGACCCCATGACAGGCATAGCAAGGTCAAAGCAAACAACCCTAATTCTAGGGAGGGGGGAGGGGCAAACCGATGCACGGGCGAGAAGAGGAAGCCCTAGCCTCGTGCAAGGAGTTTTAGCATTTCTGGCTGTCCATCAAAAAATGGCAACATTAACTTCATCCCAACAACAAGGGAAGCCCCAATCGCATCAGTGGCCGGCGTAGCCCGCCCCCAACTTTGGAGTGTCCTGGCGGCCCCCACCGCAACACGTGCTCTCCATGAAGGAGAACATGATTTACTGTTAGTATATGAAGCCCTTAACAACTTAGGACCAGTCTATTTGTGAGATCGTTTTACTGTATACATGTCCATTGCTTCGATCTGCAAAAATGACACTGTTACAGGTACGAAATAATATTCATTCTGCATTTGTAAGAAGTTGATATTTTACTGTGGCAGCACCCACATTTTGGAACTTCTTGCCTTTTGACATCAGACAGGTTTCTTCACTGTACTGTTTTTAGCACCTACGCAAAAACATGTCCATTTAGACAAGCCTATGGTGCACATGTGTTTTAAATCTGTTTTTAGCCAATCACTGGTTTTAGTTACTATTTGAGTGTGTTAAATAGCCGC